ACCAGAACATACTAGATAATTGATATGATATGGTAATTAGTAAATTCTAAGTTGTATAATTATCAGATCAGGTAGTTAGCTATATTATAAGCTATATAATTATATGATATGGTACTTAACTAAATTATACGCTATATCAATTTGCGTGGGATGGCAGAATGCATCCCTATGCACTACTCGGGGTGAGATTTTGGCTACCCATTGCCTAGACTTATGTGTCGGACACCTAGTCAATTGTCTAATACCGTCTAGCGCTTGTCTAGCCCTCACGTCTAGACAATCTTTGACTAGAGTTGACCATCTAGATGGTCTAACCGTCTAGCCCAAAGTCTAGGGGCTAAATTAGTTGTTAACCCGGTGACTAGCATCTAGACGTTGTCTAGATGGGCTAGACTTACATCTAGGTGAACACTGTGAGCAACTAAACTAGCTACTCTACTATTAAAGGCTTCAAATAACTAGAGAGCTACTACTAATAACAAGCAACTGCCGCATAAGCAACATATGAATGTAACTGAACAAACATGGAGCTTAATACCGAACCCTGGGCAAGAGATGAACACAAGATTTATCCCCATGGTTCGGTTCCTAATTGCTTTTGTGTGGTAAAGATTAGACTAGAATTCAAACTATTGTGTAGGAGATTGCTTTGGGTGAAAATAGAGCTAGTGCAAACTAGTTGCTATTAGGGCCATATTTTGTTCTAATCAACTTTACTCTAGTCTTGTGAGTTTGTATGAAAAAAATTTACAGGCTATTCACCCCCTTTAGCCATCTAAATCCTTTCACCTCGACGGCTTGGTGGCAATCAATGGCTTGGTAATCTCCCAGAGGTGGTTGTGTGAGGCTCAAGCAATGTTATATGAGGTTTGGTGTTCGTCTTTCCTGAATGGAGAAGGATCAACCACTAGAGAGCACTTGGACCATGAGTGGATCAAGAGAGAGCTAGACCCTTGCACAGGTGCTCCAACACAGACTAGTAGAGAGTGTCGAATCTGCGCGATACCTCGAGAAAACATCGTCGTGTTCCTTTCTTTACATTGTGCATTACTTTCTAGCATTACTTCCTTGCAATTACTTTCCTAGAATTGCCTTGCTAGATTAGGATTGAAACCTAAGGTGCAAGACTTATGTGTGTTAGTGGCTAGACACACATCTAGGCACATGGGTTAATTTGGCTAGTGTTAGGTTTTCATTTCCACAAAATTTAGTTAGCCCAATTCACACCCCTCTTATGCATCTTGATCCTTTCACTCTTCTAGTGAAGCCATCTTATCTGAAAGAACACCCTAACCATAATCCAGCTTCCATCCAAACTCCCAAACTGATCCATTTAGGGCAGTCCCAACCATTGAAACTACCATGTTTTCATAGCTACCACATTAGTAAGAAATCACCCCTAGTAATCAAAGTACATACACAACCCACGGTTTCTTCATGTGGTCCCTTTATTAATCCTCATGGCCCTCTTTCTCCCGCATATCTCTTTCTCCTTTCCTTGTTCTCTCTCCTCCCATTGTCTCCGGCTCGCAGCACGGCGAGTGTGGTGTGGGCTCAGGTGCGCAAAGGTGCAGTGTGTGAGGGTGAGCAAGGCGTAGTGGTGGGGGCGAACGTAGGCACATGTAGTGGCGCGACGAGCGACATGCAGGCGGATGGGCAGGCGGAAAGCATGGCCTGCGGCATGCGTGGCCCAGGTCGTGACATGGTACGTTAAGTTGGTGGTTGATGAGCATTCTCGGCGGCATGCGAGGACTAGTGGCGATGGTCACAGTGAGCGACATGTGCAGCCTATATATTGCACTGGGCACGGCGAGCACTGGGGAATGGCGACGCGGGTTATGGATGGGCGAATGCGATGACACAGAAACATGTTGATGAGCAATATAGGTAGAGGCCCCACAAAAAGTCTGGGGTAAGAAACCGCCGATTTCGCCCCAATGCGAAAGTTGTCGTTTTTTGCAGTATTGGATGCCATGTTGAGAAACATCTTCAGTTTCTTCTCTGTTTTATCTCTCTCCTTATTGAATTTCTTGCCACGTCAGTATTTTGGTGACGTGACAACCTCATTTAATTTCATGGAAACTGAGATCTGGGAGTGCCCTTAGGCCAGTCTCGGTATAAATGATATGGCATATATAGTATAAACAATAGCTTTATGAGCATTAAATAAACTCACGTGGCATAGTATAAATAAAGAGAGATGATAAAATTTTTATTAGGCGAGTCTCACTGGGGGTTGTTCATGTCCATGTTTTTAAGACTACTAGGTGTTGGAAACGGTGTAAACAAGTTTTATCCATATAACTCATTTTATCTTATGAAACTTTTATCATATCTTTCTTTATTTAAATAATACCACATCAGCTTATGTAATACCCATAAAACTCCCATAATTAGATAAATAATTCCATATAAGCAAACTTGTTTACATTATTTCCAATATAGTCTCAAAACTGGACCACGAAGTCCTCGCTGGCACTGGTCTTGTATCGTAGCTACTGGTCTTGTATCATAGCTGTTGACAACACGAAACCCGAAAGACCGATGCATTCTATACATACGTACAGCACCAAAGAAAAATACATATACACAGCCAGCAAGAAAATAACGAAAAGAAAAGGGAAAAAAAAAGATGCAGCACACGTGCAGGTCGCCCAGTGGGGCGGCGGCGGCAGCTGGATCTCGAGCTGTCCTCGTGTTGGCGCCGCTGTTTTCCTGTTCGTTCCCTGCTGGCCATGCCTGCCCTGTGCCCAGCCCTGCCCCTCCACTACGTCTACCTGGACGGCTGGAGCAGGCAGGCAGACAGCTCGACACGGCCGCGTCGGCTTTGCCTTGTCGCTCGTACCAACAACGCCCAGCACCCTCCCCACATCCACATGCCGTGATGCACGCTAGCTGCTACCGAGTAGGAGTAGCCATATGGCGATGATCCGTTCCAGTTTTCTATTTTTCCTTATCTTCTCCCCTGTGGCATGATCTATAGGCATATGGCGATGCCGCTTTTGATGCCCAGTGAAAGATAGCACGGCTTTGTATTGGAACTGATTTGTCATTCTCAGTCACTACTCACTAGTCGTTCCTTAATGATAGCGTCTTTTTTTTTTAACTTCGTCATGAGTAGAATGACATTTAGAGAGTGATTTCGCTGTTATAGCGCTGGTATTGTATTGTAAGCATAAAGTCAGCATCACAATCCACCGAGTGCTATCTCCAATCATATTCACTTGACCTTCATATGTATTCCCTCCGTTCTAATTTCCAAAGTATAAGTCCCTCTGACTCCGTACAACGAATTTTTTATGTATCTAAACATGCATTATTTCTAGATACTTAGCAAATTCGATGTAAAAAAAAGTCAAAGCAACTTGGACCAGAGGGAGTACCAGGAAGGTGGCTTGTTCCCAAATGTCTTCTATTCTTGACGGGAGATACTATGTAGGATTACTGTCTTTCTGACACGAAGATTACTAGGCTGTTCGTTTCGGCTGTATTGGCTTATAAGGTATGACTGAAAGTACTGCTGGTTGATTTGGTGTGAGAGAAAAATACTGTTTATTGACTGATAATCCAAGGCTTATAAGCCGAATACAGGCTGCCGAACAGGCTGTACATTTAAATTTAGTCAGCTGAGACAAATGGCACGCAACCTTTTGCCACCTCAACCGTTAATGGCTAGCGGCCTTTTCGGCTGGGGCTGAAACGATCGTATACGACCGTGGATTATTACTGCTGGTTGGTTTGGTGTGAGAGAAAAATACTGTTCTGACTGAAAATTTACGATCATTTACGACCAAACGAAAAGGCCGTAGGCTATGTACTTCACAGCAGCAGCAACGCATTTCTCCTGAAAATTTTATGGTCATCAACTTTCTAAACTTAAGTGGAACTTGGAATTTTTTTTTCTTCTCATTTTATGTTTTTTATAAAATTAAACTGAATTATGTATTTTTTTTAAAAAGAACTGAATTATATAAAATTAATAACGAGCATCTACCAAGCTGCTGCTATGGGCATCGTCTTTTCTCTCTCTCTTTTTAAACAGTGTCAACATATTTAAATTCACAAACCTACAGTCTTGCTGGTGGATAGAACCATAATCTAACGAATCCAACCAAAAGTTTGCATCATGTGATTGATCTTCATCTCACAAACGTGCTACCTCGGAAATTTTAACCTTTTCCCCCATCCACATGAGTATCCAAAGCAATTGGTCGGACTACGCGATGCAACGGCCAGGATGGATCGATCTGGATGAATCCCATCGATCGCAGCCGTCAACACGCTGGAAATTTCTGCCGTTTTAAATAGTACCCGCGCGTATTTGACCTTTCTCTCCCCGTCCTCCCTATCTCGCCATTTTATCCGCCTCCCCTCTCTCGTCTCTCCTATCCTCCGTGCTCGCCAATTCCTCCAGGATTATTACCAGCGACGACAGGAACCTGAGATTCGGATTTAGGATTGGGATTCTGGCGCCGGAATCGAAGCGGCAACGCGCTGGAGCCGTGGCCGAATTGGTACGTGCTTTTCCCTAACCTATTTTTTATGGACAATTTAGTGTTATTACGGTTCTTGTATATGGAATTGCCCTGTCTTGATCCGGTTCAATTCGCGCAATTCCAACCGGATTCCGTTTTCTCAGCCCATCTCCGTGCGAATTTCTTGGGGATTGTTTTCAGCTTCGTCTGTTTACCCGCCGTTGATTTTTCTCGCTTCCATTTCTGGGAAATTTTGGGACTTTCTTGCGACTATTCAATGCCATTGTGCCCGTAGACATGGCGGTCCTTGATGCGAATTCGCCGTAATTTTTCGATTTTTTGGCGCATGCGGTGGTTCCTGGGCGAGATCTGTGGCTGGAGCCGCAACAGTCCCGCCTGAATTTTAGCTTTTCGGCGAGGTAGTTTAAGTGCCACGGTTTCTCAAGTCTTGGGGAATTTTTTTCTCTCTCACCATTTTCTGTCACTATTTCTCTGGAGTGCAGTTTGGGTGAGCACGCCAACGCCATGATGGCGAACGGGAGGCTCCAGAAGCAGGCGTTGCTTCCGCCGCGGAGCCCGTTCCCGGCGGCGCCGCCGCCGGCGCCGCACGCCGAGCTCGGCCCGATCGCGCGGCCGCGGGACGCGCACCACCGGCACGGCCACCAGCGCACGTCGTCCGAGAGCTTCCTCACCGACGAGCAGCCGTCGTGGCTGGACGACCTGCTCGACGAGCCCGAGACGCCGGCGGCGCGGGCGCACGGCCGGCCGGGCCACCGCAGGTCGTCCAGCGACTCGTTTGCGCTCTTCGAAGGCGGCAGCAGCGCTGCTATGGGGGGCATGTATGACAATGTGCTCGATGGCATGAGGGGAGGAGGAGGAGGAGGGCAGGTGGCTTCTTGGGCCGGTGCGCCCGAGTTCTTCCCTGAGCCAACCTCATTTGGGCGGCCTCAGGGCCGGCCGTGGGAGTCCAGGCAGATGTACCGGCAGGGTGGTGGCATGCCGTTGCTAGGGAGGGAGAAGAACGGCGGGCGCCATGGTCTGTCCAGCTCATTTGCTGATCATGAGCATGGTCATTTGCCCAATGGGGTGGACAGGAAGGGCCATGGTGATGCGGGGATTGTAGCAGAGAGAAAGGAGGGCCTGAGGCACTCGCAGTCGGAGGCGGACACCAAACGAGCCAAACAGTGAGTTGGATTGATATTATTGTTGCAGTCAATTTGAAGAATTATGTTACTCCTTCCATTCCAGTTATAAAACATTTTTTTTTCTAGATACATAGATTTTGCTATGCACTTAGATATACATTATGTCTAGATACATAGTAAAAGCAATGCATCTAAAAAAGACAAAATATCTTATAATTTGGAATGTAGGGAGTAGTTTTGTGGACTTTGTGTTCTTCAAACATCGGTAGTGGTAATAAGTGTGATTGTAGAAGGCAAACACTTTAGTGAAACCAGAATTCTAATTTGCAATATTCTTTGAGACTAAAAGGTGAGCACATAGCTATACCACATGCTGCACAGTAGTAGGTTGATTTCTCTTATTATGTGCTCTGTTTTAAGAACTGAATTAAGTGTTATTAAATAGCACAAATGTGTTTGTTCCGAATGTCTCGTCTATGTATTTGGATAGAAATTTTATTGTTGTATTTGCCATGGCAATTCAACATGAGTACAAACTTAAAGTGGGGAACTCTACTCATGTGGACTATAACGCAAGTGACTATATGATTTCAAAACAAAATGGAATTTGGATGTAATGACCACTGACAATCAATGTGTAAATAGATTCTGTGGGAAGTCCTCCAGCTCCTTAGGATGCAAGTCCTAATAAGTTGTAACTGTACAAGTGGAATGTGTGTGTCAGTGTTTGCCATCTTTAAATTCAGAATACACTTGAATGCAATATAGGTGCACATCTTCATGTGCATTGAGCTTCATTTTGTTGTCAGTATATGCAGACTTAAGTTTACACAATGAAGATGTCATGTCTGGTGTCCATGTAGATATATGCTGGTAGACCTTGAATTTTGAGGTATGCTTATTTATTTTTACTTTTGATGACAATTGCAGACAATACGCTCAGAGATCTCGTGTCCGTAAGCTCCAGTATATTGCAGAGCTTGAGAGAAGAGTTCAGTCCTTACAGGTAATCTTTTTTTTTTTCAAAACGAACCATATTAGTCGTTTATTGCACGAGTTAGAAACCTTAAGCATCCCAGAGAATTCTTAAATTTTTATGCTTGCAATGCTTGCAGACAGAGGGGATAGAAGTAACTGCTGAAATGGATTTTCTCGGTCAGCAAAATATCATGTTAGACTTGGAAAATAAAGCCTTGAAGCAACGGCTTGAGAGTCTGTCTCAGGAGCATCTCATTAAACGCTGTAAGTATTCACCTTTCTTTCCCCTGGAGTTTCTTTGGTGACTTTCTGAATGTGTCTTCTGTAGTTAGGAATTATGGTAGCAGTCAGGTTTCGGATCTCTGAGTTTGGTGAATAAAATGAGCTTATGGATGTTATATGTTAAAATTTTATTTTGAAAATGATTCTTGGGATGGACCTGCAGATATGTTAGGAACCTGAAAAAAAATGTTTTGTTGTAAAGTGCCAACTTCATACCTACAGCTGACATGTTCTTATAATGTTTTAGTTCCAGCTAAAAACAGAGAGGATTACCATATTTCATCACATCCATGTTTCTATCATAGGTTGTCAATCTTTTTTAATTTCCTGAAGTTATGATAAAATATACAGGGGACCTATTCAAACAATATAGCTGTTAGCTACCAAATATTTTATCTTATGTAGCATATAAAAAAAGAGAATATCTTTCATAGTAGCTTTGCTAAATTCTAATAGACGCTGGCTGTAGCTAAAATATCATTATCTTGATAAAACTGCATTACCACTTTTGTGAGAACAATGAGATTATCAGGACAGTTCCCTTTAAGCATAGTTGCATTTCAGCAGGTGTTACTTTAGAAATTGTTCAGTAGGAAACAGTAGACTCACCAATCATCAATAATATACTGGAGCTCATCAATCATCTTTTTAAAACAGTGAGTCACCAATTTTTTTCTCGCCAATGTTGCAGATCAGCAGGAGATGTTTGAGAGGGAAATTGGTCGTCTTAGAACATTGTTCCAGCAGCAGCAGCAACAACAACAACATGTACCGCAGCAGCAGGCTCCTACCCATAGCCGTAGTAACAGCAGAGACCTGGATTCACAATTTGCAAACCTGTCTCTGAAACACAGCGATCCCAGTTCAGGGTGTGACGCTGTCTCTGGCCTTCGCATTTAAGATTCCTTTGTTCCAGCATTTGGTTCTCTGAGCTTCGCAGAACTTGTTGCCCCCTTTATGCTACTCTTTGTGATTGTTAGTAGCATCAAGAGAGGAGCAGCACCGGTGAACCAGGAATCTCATCCCATGGTGAATAAAGCTGGAAAGGTTAATAGCTGTGGATCAGGTCTTTAGTTGTTTCAGAATGTGCACCTGACGGTCATCCTTAGCTCCTGTCCACTGTTGATGCTTGACCAGTCGGAGGTGTTTAGGATCTGTTTGCAGATTGATGGCTTTCGTGGATCCTTGTATCAGTTTGAAGTTAGAACACTAAGGTTCTAATTCATTCCTTTTTAGTCGATTCTCTGTTGAGTTTAGGCGCCATGTGGTGCTTGTATTAGTTAGTTTGGCACTTGAATGGAATGTGAGCTGGTCTTTAGGTTATGCCACATCCTGGAAAAACGTTGCAGCAGGAGCATCAGGCGTGTCCAATAAGATAGTGAGGTTGAAGCGCTGATGTAAGTTTCGTTTCACTCGTGTGCAGAACAAGATATTGGATACTCTGGGTTCTCTCATTTATTGAGCGCTGTATTTTTTTCGCCTTATGATGACAAGTACATGAAATCCTGCAAGTTCATTTTAACTTCCATGTATCTGCTTCTGTTCGTTCTATGTTCTATGAGATTGACTGGGTTAATGTCATATTGTTATCTATGCAATGTGGCGTTAACAATGATTTGGACTCATCTAACCGTACACAACTCACAAGTAGTTGTAGATGTACTCTGTCGTTTCTGGCTCGGTCATTTGCGATATTGTACAGCCTAAATATCCATGCTCAAGATGCTTCTGTGAAAGAGAGTATCTTCCACACCTGACGATGGATGTGATTTTCATATGGCGCGCACACACAAAAAGGAACACAAAACAGAATAATTGCACGAATTTTACCCAGGCAAGTATCCCCGATTGCAATGCCATTCCATACTTTGGTTTAAGCCTACTTTAAGGACTACATCCCATACAACTAGAATAATTTATAACTGAATTGCACACTAAGGATACGAGCATTTCTGCAATTCGCTAATGACCATATGGAATCTTCTATTTTTTGTTCAAATCGATGTCCATGGCTTCTGCTGGTTTGTTCCCCCGAAAATCAGCTACTGCAGTGTCAAGTGTCCCCCTTATATGCTGGCACATCACCATCAGGTCTTGCAATGCATCTTTCAGAACATCCTTGGCTGGATCTCCTGCCAACATATCAACCATCATATATCAGGAATTTAAGCCAAAGGCAGCTATTCAGAATCACTTTTTTACTGTAGACAGCAGGGATAACAAATTCACAATTGCCTCTTGACGTTTCAAATAATAATATCGGTAACTATACCTCACAGGATTGCAGGTACCACAACATTGTGTGCATTAGAAATACTATTTTGTATTCTACGACAGGGAATGAAAATAGCCTCTCTGGCATTTCAATGAACAATGTTGGCAGTTACAACTCACTGCGGCAGATACCACAAAATCGCGTATCCTTCTTACAATACAGCATTTGGATCGACAGCAACAAAGTAAAAGGAATATCATTTCAAATTCTTAAAACCTCCATTCAAGAAGTGTTAGAAAGGAAGGGGGAAGGAGGGGGGCGGGGGAGTTTGGGATCATATGCTATTGTATAGTACCTGTAGTCTGAACCCGTATGTTAACTTTGTTCTCAGCAGGATGAGGGATGCTGTATCCACAAAATGCCACCCTTGGGCTGCAACATCACAGAAGTAATTATAATGAGAAAAGTTATATACACTACACTTACAAAAATGCACACAATTTGAGAAATTTGGTCCAAATCTCCAAATACATACAAATTGACACAAACATACATTAAATTATAACGACCACAATTTAAATTCATCATATGATTACCTGAACCAGTCAAATATTTAGTGCACATGATTTAAAACGTCATTAATCTAATGCAGGCATCCATAGTTCCTTAATGGTTGGATACATAGAATACAACCAAAGTGCCAAACATTTCAGGTTCTTCTTCCCCCTTTCTCGCTCAGGTGCCTAGGAGTTCCAGAAATTATTATCACATCAACAAAGAAACTGAATTTTTGCATGCTAAGGCTTATATGTTATCAGCTCCCATCTTGTACCAGAAGAACATGCTCAACAGTGACAAAACGCAGATTTATTTACACACTAAGGTATTCAACTTTCTGATAGTGATAGTCATCTCAAAGCAACATCATTGCATGCTAAAGAAGACAAATGACTCCTGCTGCTGACTGCATACCATCTAACAAAGTGAGGTCAAACAACCTTGAATACTGGTATCAACAAAATGTAATTTTCTTCAGTGAATATTTTTCTATAAATTAAACAGAACCAGCACGAGTGCAGGCTCCTATCTATCCTCACAATACCTGAACATGCTATATCCTTAAGAGAAGTAATATTGAATGATCATGTAAAGTCATCTAAAGTTGACTTCAGACTTGCAATACTTGTTCAAGTTTTAATTGTAGCTGTTTTCAGCCCATGCATAAGCCCGTAAAGAGAACATGAAAAGTTCTAGGGTTCAATTACAGAATAGTTGCAACCATGATTCAACCCCAATTATTCTAGGTTATTAATAACTTCCCAACCAAACTCCATTGTGTTGCTGGTGGCAACATCAGTTTCCCCAATTCATCATAAAAACTGATTTGACGCAAGTTTCCACTGTATCCTCTCATAAGCAAGCCAAGACTACAAAGCTGTCTAACTGGTGACGCAAGTTTCCACTGTATCCTCTCATAAGCAAGCCAAGACTACAAAGCTGTCTAACTGGTGGATAAGTGACAAGGTCGCAGATCTATGATATACCATCACAAGTTACTATACTATTAATTAATACGCACCCCTCTTCCAAATTCAAGTTCACTTTGGCTTTTCCCTAAGTCAAACTTATCTAATTTATTGAAAAATGTAGCAAGATCTACAACACCAAATTAGTTTCACTAAATTCTTCTCCATGAAATATATTTTGATAGTATATATTTATTTGAACCTGTAGATACAAAAATATTTTCTAGAAATTGGTCAAATCTAGAGAAATTTGAATCAAAACAAAGCCAAAGTGCCAAAGTGATCTTAGTTTATAAGTTATAACGGATGGAGTACAAGAAACAAAGACAAAAGAAAAGATAAATGGCGACTCACTCCTGGTTGAGGACGAATCTGACAGAGTTGGCGAGGGTATGGTCCTCCTCCATGATAGAGAACGTCGACGAGCTTGAATCGTCCAACGACCCATGCTCCATCGCTCCCCGCCTTCAACAACGAATGCGCCTTCGCCAAGAAACCAGCAGGGTTAGGCCGTAAGTGGCAACAACAAAGCCCAAGTGAATCAAACTCCGAAACGACGAAGAGAGCAGGGCCTTTCACGGCTCTACCTGATGCGGAAGCAGAGAGGGGACGAGGCGAAGCCGAAGGCGAGTTCGACGGCGGGAGGCGGCGGCGCTGCGGGTCGCGTCCTGAAGAAGGGCAGCAATTCCGCTTTATTAAAGCGAAGGGGAGAAAAGTCACATTTGCCCTTGGTTTTTTGTTTTGTTTGAGAACAAGTAAATCTTTTTTTTATTCGAAAAAAGAAAAAATATATTCATATTTCAACCCAAAGAGACAAATGAATTATGAATTCTCTGTGATACTAATACTCCCTCAGCGCCATATCCAGGTTCAAAGCTATGATTATGTTTTTTTTTACGGAGAGTGTCGGTGCAGAAAGTGTAGCACCTGGTTTTAAACACAAAACCAGATACACACAATATATGAGCCTAGAAAGTCAAATCTCACATATAACCACAAATAAGGGTAATATCAAGAGACAATACTTATTACATAACGTATTAAAAAGGAAAATAACCTCAGAGTATAGACAGCGGAAAGTTGACTCTGATCTTCGGGCGAAGACTCCAAATCCACAGGGACGACTGACTCGTTGACCACAAGCCTAACTCCTCCAAACCAGCAATCTGGTACCTATCCGGGATTTTTATCCAATGTATAGAAAAGTAAAACAAGCGTAAGTACATATCATACTTAACAATTATATCATAGGGTTCATGAGGCTCAAAAGGGCTGACACTGGTTTAACTGCGATTAGCCTTTGTTTAGCATAATTTTAGCAATTGGTTGGCAACAAGTTTATCCATAAGCCCATAAACACATGATCAGGTAAACATAAATAATGTATAGCATAAACAATTGATCAGTAGTACCATTATCCATTATTGATCATCTTTATTCTATAAGGGTCCAAGGCCGCTCGTGACCGTGAGCACGGCTGTTATAACAGTTTTATACGCTGCAGAGTTTGTACACTTTCACTGTGAATCGTGATTTACCCTTTCGCCCGAGGTGATCAGCTTCTTGACCCACTACCAAGGAAGGTCAGCAGGGTTCACTATGAAGCCTTTCAAAGGTTCGTCTAACAAGTTAGAGCCGCTAGGCATATGTGGCCCTCCTCTAGGAGTGGCACGCTTGGGCACGCAGCACGGTACACACATCCTAGCAGGAAAGGAAACATACCCTCTTACGCCATAAAGGTAACCACTAACAAGCTAGAAAAAGTCCTCGTACTGATCTAAAACCAGAGCCATATAGCCCTCACAATTGTACTGTAAGTCCTGGATGATCGCTTATAGATAAGTCCTTAAGGAGAGGAATCTGAAGCAATTAGAAAGTAGCTAAACACTCCAGCCCCCTGTTTTCATGTTGCTAAAAAGTCACGTTTTAATATTTATTGAATATACCATTAATCAAGTTACAAGATCATGGTTTTGGTAAAGCACTAGCAAAAACTACCCAATGCAATATCCCAAAGGTATCAAGGTACAAGATATCAAATGTCTAGGATATCCTTATTGGCAACAAGGTAGACACATACAATATGAATTAAGTGATTAAAGGTAAATAAGTAACAAGGATGGTCCCATGCTATACTTGCCTTACACACCGATCCTTCGGTAAGCTTTAATCTTCAATGTCCTTCTTCTTCTTCTGGATCACCGCGTGTATCTTATCGACTGGACGTAATCGTAGAACACTACACAAACATCCATACACATACATGCATAGCATACAATTGCATTTATATCATAATAGTATACCAATCATAGAAAAATAAGTAAAAGAGTTTAAAATATGATTCTACGTATCGCTACGAACAAATAGTCGCGAGAAAAGCACGTTAATCGAAGTTACGGTTGAAACGATACAACTACCGCGAGATTTGTTTTATACGTGGAAAATAAAACTATAGGCTTCACTTATGTTAACCATATGAGTTCATATATAAAAGATATTTTATAAATAATATAGATTAAATTAGGTCAGTTTTAGATTTGAATTATAAAACAAGAGTAAAACAAATCATATTTTATTTATAAAATCTAGTTGCATAATCATTAATCAAGATATGATTTAAACCATGTTATTTCAGAAATAACTATATAGTAAATACTATTACTAATGCGTAAATCTCGTCGCTACGAATCTAACGCAACTTGAATGGACTATTTGAGAGTTAAAATAAATAAATTATGATTTAAATAAGTTTTTCTTTAGTTAAATAATAAATTAAATCTACCCATGAACTTTAGTTATTAAAAACATGCCCAATAGTACTATAAACATGTAGAAAACGTAAATACGGTCCTAACGCAATTCGAACGGGTCAAATCGAACTTAAAACGCAAAAGTTACACATGAAATAAGGTTAAGTGACATTTCTGTAAATAAACTAAACTTATTTTTGAATTAAAATAATTAAAATATGAATTTACACGTTTATTGGACTGCGCGTACTATTTCTAGAAAATACAGGGGCTAAAACAAAAGAAAACAAGACCTACAAGAAATTACTTTGAACTAATTTGGATTGCGGGTTGATTCACTAGAATCCGAGGGGCTTTTCTAAAAAATGCGTGCGACTGACCGAATGTTTGACTGCGGCTGCTGACTCATCCGACACGTGGCACGCGCAGACTGGTGCGGTGCACCGCGCGGCGTGGACCAGCGCTGACGTAGGCACGGTGCGCCGGGTCCATGGCTCACGATGGACCGGCCACTTAATCCAACCAGTGATCTAATCTTGGCCATTCACCCAGGATCCGGTGGCACAGATGAGTGCGGGTGAACCTCTAGTGGCAGCACGGCGGCTTCGGTGAACTCGCCATGGCCGGCGGCGACGGTGATCTACGATACGGCGTTCTAGCGCATGAAACGGTGAATGGAAGGCACGACAAGGTGGAGAAGCTCACCGCAAGTTCGTCCGGAGGGGAGCGCAGCGTCCAGGGAGGCTCGGAAGGGGTGGTCGTCGATGGCGGCGGTGATTGGAGAGAGAGGGAGGGCGCGGTGAGGATGAATCCGAGGAAATCAAGACCAAAAACAAGAGATGGAGGTACCTACGGGCGCGATGAAACACGATGGACCTCTGAGTCGCGTCGGCGTCGATGATAGGGCACCAGTGCAGCGGCTATGGGGCGGCGGTGGCGAGTGAGCTCGAGCGTGGAGGGGAAAGGGAGAGGGAGGGGATCCGGCTGGGGCTTTATAGGCGGGCGGGGCTACGACGTAGAAGGAAGGAGAGCGATGATTTGGGCGCCTGCCATACGGGCGCTGGCGCGGCGGCTTGCCGTACACGGGCGCGCCATTACCGGGAGCAAGAAAGGAAAGAAGCAGGGGAAAGGAACGAAGGGGAACGCTGACGCGCGGGGCCAGCGGGCAGTGAGGGAAGGGAGAGAGCGGCAGGTGCGTGTGGCCGTAGGCGCTTCATGAAGCCTGACCTTGCCAAAGTGGGCCACGTGGAGCAAAGAAAGGCATGCAGCAAAGGAGGAGCGAGAAACGGGCCGAAGCAATGAAATGGGCCTCGTCTTGAGGAGGAGGGCCAAGCGAGCCAAGGGAGAGAGAAGAAGTGGATGGCCGACGGAGAGGAGGAAGGAAAAGGGCCAAGGAAAAAGAACAGTGGGCCTTCGGGCCAGAAATGAGAGAGGGGAGGTTTTCTTCTTTTTTTTCCAAATCATTTTCCTACTTTGAGTTTCCAAATCCAAGCCAAATTCTATGTAAATCATATCAAATCTGAATATGTTTTCAATATACTTTTCATCTCAAATATAAATGAGCAATTTTGGTAAGTTTCCAAAAATAAATTTTACTATTTTTTAAATCCTCTTATTTTCAAATTTTCTTTTCTTTTTTTTCAAAGCCATTTTTAATTTCATTTCAAAAGCATTTTAACCATTTTGACTTTTCAATTAAAACCACTCAACCAATAAAATGCAATGGCATGTATGCTCAAACATGTTGCTACCTTATGATGTATTTTAATTTAATGAAAATTTTTATTTTCCTATATTTCATGTGTACAAAAATTCATAAATAAATTATTTTAGCTCTATTTTAAAAGAGGTAAATTTTAGGGTGTTACAGAAAGTGACCAACACGTAAATATTTGTAGTTTTGTTGTACGTTGTGATCGAAGGCGACCTAGCACTCAATGACACATGGTTTATACTGGTTCAGGCAACTTGCCCTACGTCGAGTTAGAGTCGGTCGGTGACTTTATTCCTGAGCCCAGGTGCTCGAAGTTTGCTGTGGGGTTACAAACGGAAGGGAGAAAGATGGGGGGTTTAAGAGGTTCGGTCGGACTCTGGTTTGAAAGGCCGAGAGTAACGGAAGCCCCGCTATGTGCTATATGTTTGAGCGTGTGTTTGTGGTTTAAACCTGGTGGTTCTGTTGTTGTGTGTTAGTGAACTGATCGATCTCCTTGTTGGGGGAGAGCTCATCCCCTTTTATAGATGAAGGGGATGGCCTTACAAGTGAGAGAGAGTACATATGCTATTAAGTCTTGTTGCCCATGCCGACGGGTATAAGATGATGGTAGGCGCGCACAATACTGTTTAATGTCAGATGCACGTGGGAGGTTGCGTCTTCTTCTGGTATGGCAGACATCGGTGCCCGCCATACTGTTGATGCCGAGAGGTATGTAGGTGGTTTTACCATGTTTGCCGTATACGGTAAATACCGGCACCCACAACACTGTCGATGCCTCAGAGGCATGTGGGGGAAGCCTTACTGTGGTAGTCTGGTTTGGAATTGATGTCGCCCACAACACTGTAGGGAAAATGTCGACACCTACAACACTGCTTGGGTTCTGTCATGTCGTAGGGTACTGTCCGGTAGATATACAGGGTACGGTCCTTGGTATTGCGGTTGACTTGAGTGCCCTGTCTTACTTTCTCCGTCCGTTTCCTGGTTCTTACCG